AAGGCCATCAGCTCCTCACAACAAAAAGGGCTGCGAGATGCAGTCAACCTTCAAGGAAGTGCATGAACAAAAAAAGCATGTATTTGACAACATACAGCTTTCTGTTGGCTAACACTTTTTCTCTGAAGGTTTTGGTGAGCGTGTCTGAGAACTTTTTGAGTGCCTCTGGGCTAATTGTTTGTCTAATTCTCCTGTTTACTACTGCCCTCGTTCTTCCTACTACCGCCTGTTCTGTTGCCTTTTTTACTTTCTCTCTTTCACCTATTGGTACCGCGTCTTCATATTTTTTCTTGCTTTGTCAAAGGCTTTCACTCCCTTCTTTAGGTTCTTGTCATTGGTTGCAGTGACACCTTTTATCAATTTTTCAGCAGTGCCATGTTGGACAATCTTCCTGTCCTCATAAAGGTCAATAACAGTATTGATTTTTGGACGTGTAGCAGTGTCAACCCTGCCTCTTTTCCTGTCTCTTATGTTCCTTAAACTGGTAATATGTTTTTTCTATAGATATTTTTTGTCATATAATATACTTTATATTGATATATAATAAGCTTAAAGCTTTAAAACAAAAACCATTTAATGTTATAAAATATTTATTATTTAGTATCGTTAACATGGAATATATATAAAGACATATTAACTATATACATTAAGATATAATGACTACTCAATTAAACATTGAAGACCGGACCTAACACTGGATGAAATTAAAGTGCAGATGTCAATCTTTCAGGCGCTTTACAAAAAGAAAAGGAGAAGAGAAGACCCTGAATATGCACAAAAGTTGAGGGACAGAGACCGCCTCAGACAACAAAAGAAGAGAGAAGAACGGGGTGTTCCAAAAAGGATACCTGTCACCAACAGTGAAACGAGGCAAATACTGATGGTGGTTCCAAAATGATTTTACTATTAAAAAATATTAACTTATTTGTTATTTTTATTTGTTGGATATGCTGAACCAGAAGCAGAAGCGCTACTACTTCTTCTACTTGATGAGCTTGATGATGTAGGTATTGGTAAATCTGTTGGATGTGCTACCATGGGTGGATTGTGTGATGAACTGCTTGATGAAACATTTACTACTGAATGTGGTGGAGAACTATGGACACTCACTGCAGGTGAAGAATGCACGCTTATAACTTCCTCTTCATTATCATTGTAATTTTCCCCTGCTTGTGTCAAATAATCAATCGCTGACAATAAAGCACTGCCACCCATCATAGCTGCATTTCCTGCTACTTCTGCCAATCTAAAACCCATCTTTAATTTCCCTCTATGTCTTTTGAAACATCACCTATTGCCTTCACTGTCACTGCTACTACTGCTAGGGTTTTCAATCATTTTTGTAAAAGCTTCTACCATCTTATCACTTCTTGATGGCTCAAAATCACTACTTGATGGCTCTAAACTTTGAAGTTCTTTGAACTCATCTTCACAATATAGTTTCCTATTATCCGGTTTAATTTATCTACTGTTTCAGTCTCTTTGTCAAACGTAATTTTCTTATCGGTTTGCGTTTGTTTGTTCTCTATCTCTGGGAATTGTGTTGCCTCATCTTCAGATTCTATCTCATTACTTCGTTCTCTTCTTTCTGTTGGCTTATTTAAAAATAATGTAAGTATTCATCATCATCTATTATATGTATTTCTTCAGTCTATTGTGTACTAAAATCATGATTAATAATAATTAGATTCTATTCTTAATTATGCCATTTCACTTCCCCTTGCGTTGTGTCTGTTTCTGTATTCTTTAATTTTGCTTTTCAATAGTTCTGATTCAATTCTTCTTTGCCATACACCGGTTTGCATCATATCAACATCTACATAATATTGCTTTGTTGTTTTGCCTCCTCCTTTGCCTTTTGCTCTTGTTGGTAGTTCATTCTCTGGGTCATCTACATCAAAGCCTCTCAAAAACAATTGAAATTTCAATGCTTCTGCGCTCATAGTTCCTACATTTAATCTATAGCTAATGGTTCTTAATACTGCTTGTTTGGGTTCAGGGGCTTCGCGTTCTTCTCTTGCTGTCATCATTTCTACTTCATCTTCTGCTCGTTGGTTGTCTTGTGTTAAATCAATTGCTAATTGTGGCACCGGTTGAGCCATTGGCGTTCCTACTCTGCTACTTGTTCTACTCAATCCACCAAATATCATATCAATAACAGGTGTGGCGCTCCTACTTAATAAACTTTGGTGTGCTTGTCCTTGTTGTTTTCTCTCCTGTGCCATTCTAGCTCTTTCTTGTAGTTGTGCTTGAATGGATGCATTATTAACGTTGTCATCTCTTGGCGTCTCTGCTTCTATTGGGGTTGTGTCTCTACTCTGTTGCCTCATCCTTTCAACATGAACTGTTCCACCTCCTAAATTGTGTCTCAATAATAGTTCTCTCATCTGTCTCTCTTGTATTCTGTTTTTTTGTTCCTTCAATACTTCAAATGCCATCAAAGAAGCTACCTTCAGGACTTGCTTTAAAAAATGTAGCCCTTCTGTCTGGAAGGCTTCCAGTTAATGTTTCATTTTCTCCTATCAACCCTGCTATTTCATCATATGTTGGTCGCCTCTTCAATTCATATTTTGAATAAGGATTTATCATTTCCAATGCCATAGTTGCCATATATTAATATGTTAGGTAAACATGTTAATATATTTATGCAAAAAAATTGGCCTTTAGGTTGCTTAATGCTGTGTTCTTTTGTGTTGTGCGGTAGGTTGTCTCTTTGGACTTCACCTCTCAACCTGTCCAGTTCATTTTGATACTTTGACCTAGCATTTGCTTGTATCATGTCCTTTCTTAATGCTACCATGCCCTCTCTTGCATTTCTTAACTTAAGTTCCTTGTGTAAATGCTCCAGATAACTTGTATCTCTCATATCAAATGGACTAAAAATTATTAAAAATTTGTGAAGATGTGCTTTAGTGCCTGTTTTGTTGTTGTGTTTATGATACTTAAACATTATTAATATATGTTGTTTTAGACAAATATATTAATAATGTAGACTTATTATGTTAATCGTATACCACAGACCCGCGTTCGCAAATTTCTAACACGCTTGCACTAATAAGGTGGGTAAAAACCTCTTGAATGTCTTCAGCATAAATTGCGTTAGTGCTATCACCGGGTGTAGTGTTTAGAGTTCCTTCAGTAGGGCGGATTTTCATAGTCATTAAACTACCCATTTTTGTGTTAACTCCAGTAAAGTTGACGTCAGCCATCTTTTCAAATGACATACCAATAATAAATGTGTTTTCTCTGTATTGCCTGTAACTGAAAATCAATGCATTTTGGTCCGGGTTCATGTAATGTATGGCTCCTCGCAAATAGTAGAAGGTTTCTGCATGATAATGATTGTGCCTCAAACTCTGGATACTTTTTGTTGCCTAACTGGATTTGCCATTATAAGTTTCTACCATAGTCTTGGAAACCTTTGCCTTGGTCTTGAGGATTTGCTACTGCTCCATTGTCCCAGATGAATGAGTTAATTTGAGAATTGTAAAAGTAGTTCCATCGCTTATGAACATAGTTGTCTGGCAAATAGTTAGCATTGATAGTTCCATTTCCTGGTGTTCTGTATAAAGTACTGAATGCTCCTGTGAGTTTGAATGATGACTTAACAATGTTCATATCCAATTCACCGCCTCCTGTGTTGAAGGTTTGTGTTAGTGTGTGATACATAGGAAAGACCAGTTTTAGTGACTCACCGTCCAACAAATGTTTTACTATGTTGTTATTAACAGTGTTGTCTAAAGTCATTACTTCAGCTCTGAGAATAACATTGTTTAATTCCCACTGTGTAGAAGTGTTAGCTGCTTGAAAGTAATACCCCTGTTTGTCAGTTTGAGTGTTCGGGCTTCCTACTGCGCCTCCTTGTGGTTCTACAATAGGTACCAATTCATCATTAACAATTGCGAATTCTAATTCCAAAGGCGCATACCTCAAAGGTAAATAGTAATTTGATTGCATCAACCCACAAACAGGCTTATGGCTGAATCGGGCTTTACCATTAGCGCCGGAAATTCTTGTCAATGAGTGTCTTGTATACTGTATATTTTATCTATTCTACCCCATTCATTTTTATCACCGTCAGGGGATACAGTTACTACACCGGGGGTTGGAGTAACACCAGCAGTAGTAGCCTGCAATAATACATCCAAACCATTACTGTAGCATAGTCATGAAAGTCAGCGTCCCATCTTGGGTTAGCTGACATCTCTATGTCATCCATGTCTCTAACATACAACTCACAGTGTCTATTGTATTCAACAATATTTCGATCCATTTGACCTCCTACTATTGCTCTGTATCGTTGAATAAAGGCATGTAAGCCTCCTAATGGACGTAAGAAATGGTGTCTTGTTCGATCGTTATTTTGCAAAGTTGCAAACAACCTTACTGAACTCAAATCCAAATAGGTATTATCCTCTCCTGAAATGTAAAACCTAATGTTTTTCGCCCCCGCATTCGCATTAAATACGTTTGTGGTGCTACTAAAATAGTTTACAAATCGCCTGTTTGTAACATATTGTGAAGTTTCAGGTAATCCAAAGTTCAGGTAATCCAGGTCACCAGCTTAAAAACAGACATCAAACGAAGCGGTATCCATTTAGCAGAAAGGATTTCTATGTTTCTTTCCTTCAGGGAGAGCTTTGGTAAGGATGAGTCTGGTTCTATGTTGTCCTTTTTATCCAGGTTCTTTTACAAAACTTGTGGTTTTTTACTTTAACATTTCAAGGTAAAAAAATCACAAGTTTGCGTCTGTATGTACTTTTTGATGATGCATGGTTAAAAAAAATATGAAGCATTGTTTTGCTTTGTGTGTGTCATGGTTTCGTGCAAATTACTTTTTTGTTAGGTCGATTTGCTTTGCTGGTCGTTTGTGGGAGTCTTATGGTTTTGCATGAAAAGTATGCTAAGGAGCCCTGGCGGCACATTGGTCTAAAAGTTCCCCACCACGGGGGGGGGGCTCCCTCGCTTCGGCTCGCGCGAGCGGTGACCGGGCGACCCGGGCTTCTCCAGGCTGCTCAAGATGTGTTGAAAGAGACGGGGTCCAGCTCCAACCTGTCGCGATGACTCGGTATGACTCGGGTCCTGATCGGACTCACCCGTCCGGTCTTTGGTTCACAAGGAAAGGTCCCAGAGAACTAGGACTGACTCAGCTCCTTTGCATCTTGTTGGTTCGGAGGCCTTCACATGGGACGAAACAACAAAATAGAAAGGAACAAACAATCAACAGAAACCATCCCAACTCAGAGGACGCTCCAAAACTTCGGATCTCTGGATAATCCGAATCATCCGCCTCCTGAACACATTTCATCGGCCCTTTCACCATGACCTGAGCAGGTTCGGACCGATACCGCTCGGACTTCCGATGGATGTTCATCTCACCCGGGTCCGTTCTCGTGTCCTCCCAGACGTCCCAACCGGGTCCGAAGTGAAGAGCTCCCGTTCGGAACGCACATGGTTTCAGGGAGTTCAATTCCTGGTGAGTGGAGGAGTTCATGGTCTTGTGAACTCGAGGCCATGTCATGTCATCCATTTCCATGTTAGGAAATGGGAGTGTATACGGCCTAAGTCTGTACAAATTGACCGTCTTTAATCTGGTGAGCCTAGTCACTGCTACACATGCTACACATGCACTATCATTCACTATCATTCACTGCCACACTTCGCAGAAAAAAATAACCGCCATGGCCGTGGCCTGGCCTAGTGATCTAGTGTTGTTCTTCAGCCTCACAGTACCAATTCTGCTTCGTGTTTCGACCCAACCGGACCGTCGACGCCGATCCTATGGCACGGAGCCGTCCCGATCCTCCGATGACGACGAGGTGCCGCTTTCAGCATCATTGGAGCCAGGTCATAGCGCAGCTCGTACCTCTGACGTTGCAAGACGATGGCTTGGCCGGGCAAAAAAGCGCCCGCGCCCCCCCAGACCATGTGCCGGACCTCTCCGGAATGGCACAAGAGGTGTCTGGAAATTGGTCTCTTAGAGGTGATTCCGGGTGTGCAGGACAACCACTTGTTGGAAGGTCCTGGCCCATGTTTCATGATTTGGATATATTTGGATTACTGTAAAGGAGAGGTCAGTCTAAGGCAAGAAAAAAAAAGAGCTGAAACTGCCCGTTTGGCAACTCCTCTTGCTACCCCTGGAGAACGCTGCTGCAAGACTTTGGGAGAATGGAACTTGCTGCTTGATTGATGCATCAATTCTTCCGGTTGAGAAGGAAAAGAAACCCTCGCCTGAACACGTCGCTGCCGTTCGTTTCAGCGAGGTCCTCTCAGTCAGCACAGAGCATCTGGAACATGTGAAAAACAATGCATCTGAAAACTTGTCCTGAACTAACCTGGATAGCTTGCCAAAGCACCCCTGAAACATGATCTTCCTCTACTCTACTGGGTCAGGTGGTCTATCAGTGTCTACTTTCCGAGAGGTTCAAGACACCGACATCTCCAACAACGCAACGGGGTTTGCTTTCATCAGCGCAAACCGCGCTTGGGTTGTCCCACATCAAAGCAAAAAGGCATCTCCTGAACCTCCAGCACGAAGGTCGATTTCGTCTTCTCCTAGGCGTTGGTGCCGCTGCGCCCAGCTTGGACGTCCAACTGTTTTTGGTGGCGTTGACAAGCACAGAATTGCAACATCTGCCACGAACGCGGCAACCCAAATTGGGCCCCCACTTTGCACACAGGAGGCTTGGGCTCTCCGGGTTTGTCACAATGACAAATCACCTCAGCTCACGTCCGCAGCCCAAATCAGAAAGCACTGCTCGAAAGCACCTGGTTGGGGTGCCATGGCCTACCATCGATATTAGATCTCTAAAGACTCTAGTATATATCGAACTTTGTTGCTCTTTGAGAGGGATGGGAACATGTTTGGACATCTTGCCATCTCAAGACTGTGATGTTCCCAGCCCTTTCTCCATGTGCCTTTCTCCACTTCATGACCGACATCAGATAGGGCCCGGAACCATCCTCCAGACACTCTGGACCGTGCCTGCGTATTAAAGCCCTGCCGTTCAGTGCGTGCCGAACAAGCACCGTCCGTCTCATCCCGCGGTTCGACCTCGCCTCACCCGTGGGAGCCGAGAACTGGCCGATGCCCGCCTCGTTCGCGGCTTCCGCGGCGGCAGCGGCGTGGGGTGGAAGGCTCCAACCATCCGGTGAAGGGTTCCATGTTCGTCCCCAAACAAAGACGTGTCGCAACATCGAATCTGAATCTGACCGCCCTTCTGAGCACTTGATTGAGATAATGATGTTATACCAGCAGCCTCCTGGCCAGGCTGTTAGTTGAGGGTTGGGAAGGACCCTAACAGGTCTCAATTGGTGACCTGTCGGAGGGCCCTGGTATATATTATATATATATATGCCCTCACCTACCAGACTACCAGACCCGAAGAATTCGCAGGGGTCTGATTGTTCAAAACCTGGGTCTTGTGTGATGATTGATGTTTGCGACCAGGTGTACCTTCCTCCTCCGTCCTTCCTTCCTTCACCTGGAGCCCATCCCCATAGGCGCGCCTGTGTGACCGCTGCGGCGTCAAAGTAAAGCTTCCAGCCTGCATGTGGCGTGGAACGCACACCTCACTCCCAACTCAGTTCGGTGTCCAAAAAGGATTTGAAGACCTATAGGACTATAGGAGCCTAGGAGTGAGAAGAGTTGGAAATAAGCAGAGTTGGAGTGAGAAGAGCCTTTCAACAGACCTTTCAACCGACTTTCCACCCCTTTCTGACCGAACTTTCCTTCTCCGAACTCCTGCGATCCTCAGGTTCCATCTGATTCGCGCGAGCAAATCGACCGGCCATAGGCTAGGCGGCTAGACCCCCCCAAATCCATTGGCATAGATGTGAACTGATGTGAACAGTGGTCCTAAAAAAGGTCGTTTGGGCACATGTTCGGCACATGTTTGATCACGGAATGTCCTTGAGCAAAGGATATTAGGTCATCCTCCTCCCCAAACATCAAGCCATTCCTCCCCCCGAACATCCAAAGCGACCCATCTTGGACCACTCGACCCATTTCGCCGAACGGCCTGGAGTCAGGTTGGGAACCACACAGGTGACCTCGCTGCCGATGGGAAGATCTTCCTCCACCGGCACCTGCACGGACACAGCGGTCGAGCTGTCCTGGTGGGAGAGGTACTCCCACTGAAACACTCCGGCGCGCATGAAAGGCACAACGGCGGCGAAAGCTCTTGAGCTGTTGTTTTCTGCATGCTGCATGTGCTTTTAATGATAGTTACCAAAAAGAATGATGACACGTAAGCAAAACACGGCGACATCTTGAGCTTTTCTTTTTTGTGCTTTCTTTCTTCGGCCTTCATGCGATCAAACAAGCCGAACTCAACGAAAGCGTGTTGTTTAGTGTTTTTTTGGTGGTTTTTCGGCCTCCATACGGCCTTTCTCTTCTCTGATCAAGTAGTCCTGAAAAAAAGCCAATGGGTGTTGCAGAAGAAGGAGGCTTCCCTGATCGGTCCAAATCGGTTTTAGTCTCATCGTTCGATGGTCTCTCATATTTCCAATCCACGATCTGCACAGCTGGTTTTGGGGCCACGTCTGATGCATTTTCATACATACTTCGTTCACACGACTCAAACGAGATGCTGCACGACTCTCCTCGGACCAGCGAACAATGAACTTCCGGATTGGAAGTCGATGCGACTCCTCGAGCGCAATTGGATTCGCACTCAACTCTGGACATCCACTATGGAGTTGTTTGGGGTCGCTGGATTCGCCACTCGCTTGAGCTTGAGCGTTTGTCTGTTCCGAAATCCCTCGAATCGAATCGATCTTCATGATGATTGCAGTGAAGAATCTCAATTCATGGTTTTGTCTGGGATCAAGGAGCAAAGACACCACAAAGCACGTTTATGAACTGCCGTCACATGACGCGTTGGCATGTCGCGCGTTGACAGCGTAAAACCATGGCAGTCCGGAGAGGAGAATCGCAGACCCACCTGACGTTCGCTCAACAAAAGTCTCGACTTGTTGGACAGCAAGAAATGGACGATGTCCAATTCTGGGGAACAAAGTGGCACCAAATGCACTTCTAGAAGACCATGTCACGGACAGTGCCCCATGGCGCCTTCCGAATGTCATTCTTGGTGATGACCAAGTCCTCACAAAGCGGTTGAACAGAGCGGCCCAAGCATTGAAAAAAGAGCTTACTTTGGGTCTAGAGTGTCCAGCTGCCTCCAAAACGGAAGCAAAGAACCTTTGAACCGCATGATTTGTGCGCCAACAGAGGGCACTGGAAGAAGCTATGATTAGATGCCTCGACATGCAGAATGCCTCGTGCTGCGTGCTGCGGTCCTTACAGCTCTCGGGCGCCGCCATGCGCGTCTTGAAGGGTCCCGCCACTTGGCTCCACTCCGACGTGCCGGTGGAGGCCACCGCACGCACCTGGACGCGCGGACCGAGTGTTTTGGGGTGGTGTTTTTCTTCAAGGAACGTGGAGGGTTTCTGAAAATTACAGTATATAGCTCCTTCTCAAGACCCTCATAAACATTTAAAGAAATCCCGTCATGTTAAATCACTTGTGGGGAACTGGAGGTTTGATTGGCAGGGGGCAAGAGGGAGGAGAAGGAGCATCGTCATCTTGGGCCTGGAAGTAGTACTCATGCATGGGTTTCAAGTCATTGAGCTCCAAGGTGCACCTCAGACATTCGAGGAACTCCTCGGTTAAAGCGTTTGCTGAGAAAAAGCACATGTCGAGCACATCAACAGCTGAACAGCTTGCTGACAACCAAAGGTTAACAACAAGAAACTCCAGACTTCAGCTGAAGGACTTCATCAGGGCTTGCGAACTTCAGGTGTCGGGGATAGATTCTCGATATTCATTCCATATTCTTTGACTATTAAATCCATATCATCCATATACTATACTTGGATATACTTGGTCAATCCATCTTTCCCCCCACTTCTGCTCAGTCTCTGCTCAGTCCCTGACTTCTTCGCGAGCTCTTTGTCTCCGCGAACCAGAATGGCGTCTCTCATGGAGGCGTCCTGCATCCGACCGGCCACCGAGCGACGAGACGCGGCAAGACGGGCGAGACGCGGCGGACGCAGGCGACGCGGCGGACTCCCGGCCGGTGCGCCTCGCAGGAGACTTTGAGGTCGTAGGTGTGAAGCCTTGCAGAAGAGTGGGGTGTGCAGCCATCTGGAAAAGGAGTTCATGTAGGTGGCATAGATATACATACCCTGGAAGTCGAGTGAAGACGATGATTTTTCCTTGTAGTGAAGATTCAGGAAGCCATCGTCAGACCCTTCCTTTTGCAGGCTATAGAGATCAGTCCTACTTGCCATGGCCAGGAGCTGAGACGACCCGGACCATCCCCAAAGAGAAAAGGGAAGCAACCCCAGGCGCTTGCCATGACATCATTTTGAGAACAGGCAAGTCATATGTGGCCAAGTGGTTACTGAAGCAACGATACATGGATCTTGGATAAGTACTGGAAGTGCAACTGTATGGAATCAAAACAAAACAAAAGAACTGACCTGTTCGATGTGTCTCTCTTACGTTTTGATAAATCTCAATCATCAATCCCTTCACCGTCGGGGACCATCTTCACGATCGCTGCGGCCGATCGGCCCGATCGTTTCTCGGCGCCCCTTCCGTGATGTCTTGGAGCGGCGGTGTCGGGGAACGGCTGATCCGAGATCCGGGCTCGAAGCCACAGGAGAACGGCTGAGACCAGGCGATGCTTAAACTTCTGGAGTAGGCCTCAGCGAGTTCTCACCCAGACCGGCCCAGACCGGTCTGGGAGGTGGTCTGGGGTTTTGGAAACCCAGATACGACCTGTTTGGGGCCAAGAAGTAGATTGTGTATTGTATATATGATACTATAATGTTTTGTATTATATATACTATATTGTATTATATTAGTTTGTTTTATATTATATATATACGTGACAATGAGATATATTATATGATATATGAAAGCTTGTTATTATTTATATCAATCATATCAAATTATTGTTTGTGTGTGTGTGTGTTGTTAAAGATTACCTCTATGCAGCCACACCGACCCCAAAGCAACCACCCCTACGATCAGAAAATCATCTCCTCTACGTGGAGTTATCCTCCTGGGCATCCTGAGCCAGGTGCAACCGGGGACTTTGACACGGCACCCGGATCAATGCACCCTGGGTCGCGCTTTTGCGTCCTCCACGATGCAACCACATCCATGGGACGATGGTTGTGTGGGGGGAATGGTTGTTGTGTGGAACCATCCTTGAAGATGTCAATGATGCGGGTGACCTTCTAAAGTACTATGCTTCACAAGAATAAACCAGTTTAGTAAAAAGAAATGCAAGATAGAGATTAATCGGGTGAGCCTTTATGTTAATAGAAAATGATGATTAATTGTCAATAAATAATAATATGTTGCTATCATAATAATAAAAGACCATAAATAAGGAACCCCCGAAACCACTTTCACGACCACACCATTCAGGTCATTCGCGCACCCGGATTCATCGAGGTCGAGGATCAATGGGAGTAGGTGTCAGGACTGCGCAGGGTGAAACCCCCGCGGTCACACAATGTATACAGGTTTGGTATGACATGTTTTGTGCCATTTTGGTGTGAATTCATGTGAATTCCACACCATCTTGGGGCTCCTGACTTTGGCCAGCTTCGGCGGTTCAGGCACTTCTGGCCCCACAGCCTCGGTCTTTCCAAGCCCAAGGACGAAGGACGACCAAAATCATGAAGGCAACACAAGGTCCTCTACCCAGACGCGACCTGTTCGGCCCCGAATCCTATGGAGAAATCGGACCGGAATCTTCGGGTCAGGAGGGGTCTGGGGTTTCTCACACAGGTTCCCAATCCCGATCGGTTTTGAGGGACCGGTCGGGCTGTGAACATAAAATATTAGCTAGTATGGGGTTGTCATGGGTATAACTCCGAATGGAAGCTGGTCCAGAAGCACCATGGCCGCGCTGCGCCTTTGACACCCGCGCCGAACCAAACGGGGCCAACGCCGCCCACGGCGACTTCGTGGACGTCGTCCCCTCACCCTCGCGTCACAGCGCCACCGGCCCCACGGGTCCCCTCTTTGTCGGTCGCCCACGTCCGACGCCGAGCGGTTGGAACCCTCGGTGTCCCGAAACCGGGGCAGGTCCGGTCGTCCCGGCCTTGGTGGCAACTCCATCGCTCCAATTGGTCCACTCGGACGCACCCACCTCAGCCCCGGGACGAGTCCGGTGCGTTGGTCCTTTGGAGAAGGGACGGCCGAAAGGACCGAGGTCGAAGGAAACCGAGACCTGGCGGTTTCGCCTTGTTCATCTGGAGTTAACAGCATCTCATAGGTTGCTTTGGGAAAGACCATGCAAAGATTTTGCAAGCGTGGTTGTTGGAATATGTTGGAATTGTGGGCTTGTGGCGTTTCCCAGTCGCCCCTGGATCAAGAAGCAAGGGATATCCAGAGGAGAAGCTCGAAAACCACAGACTGAACTTCCCCATCAACGGCTGCTCATATATCTCATATATCTCAGATGTAGACCTGGGTCAAAAAAGAACTTGGTACCCGGTACGTTCATCCCATTATTTTATATGGCATGATGCACGTATACCTTCCATGTCCTTCTTACAGATCCGTATCGGCAGTCATGGCAATACCTGCAGGAATCATGATGTGCTCCAAGCCTCCGAACCTCATTCAAGGCTTGTACTCGAAAGAAGTATAAATGACTGGGCTCCAGATTGTTCACGACCAACCATGTGCGCCTCAGCAAGAGGGGTCTTTGCAGGGTCGAAAGCTCTTTGCTCTTTGCTGATGGGCATTTGCAACGACTACGGTGATTTGCCTCACACGAAAAATGCTGAGACGAGGGATTCGACCACAAAACAGTGGGACTCATCGAACAAGAGTCTGTTTTTCAAAAAATCGAACAACCTCTTGATATGAGGGGGGTAAAATCTCATCAAGAATCAAGACCAGGAGTCACATGTCGGGGTGGTGTTTAGTCCTCCATGGATCGCACCCCGTCGAACGTGACTCCTGGGAGTTGAGTCGAAATGGGATCTGCTCACTTCACACCACGTCGCACCGCCGGGTCGCGCGGCACCGCTTCGCGCCGCTTCGCGCCGCACCGCGGCGTGATCGGCGCACCTGTGAAGCGACGTGATCGTCTCCGTAGGCCCTTCCAAGGGGTCGAAGCAGTACCTCGGAACCCACCGCCCGGTCCGGCGAACCGGTTCGGTTCCCTCCGTTCTGGCCACATGGCGGTTCCGCTTCCTCCGATGGTCGGTGCAACAGAAAAGGCTTTGACAAGCAAAGAACCCCTCTACAACCTCTCGCCGTCAGTGACACTTAAGTGGTGGATTGGATTGCCCCGGGTGTGGTTTGTTATGGTTTTGGCATACAAACTTTGAAAAAAGAACACGTTTCAGACTCTCCTCTTCTCTTCCGCCTCTTTTTCGGCCACCCAACCCAACCGCACCACCGCATCTAAGTCTCCGCGCTGCACGCGGTAGCCGATGATGGGAGCTCCTTGACTACAGGGCTCATCCCACTCCAGTTTGATGGAGGTCGCCGAGTCCGAGGAGGTCAAGGGATCCATCTCCTCTCCTTCTTCGTTCCTGCGAGCGGCTCAGCTGAGCTGAGAAGCGCCGAAGCCGCTGTTGGACCTCGTTCTTCCGAAAAACGGCGAAACCGAAAAGCGAAGAGAAGGAGAACAAGTGAGGTGAAGACAAACGAACTCCAGAGATGTGGATTTCAGAAATAAGACTTGGCAGGAACTGCTATTAGATGTTGCTTATACATACCAGCACCCGACTCTACAGGTCTCCGAAATGGTAGCTTTGGGAGACTTAAAGGTGTCAGGTGGTGACCTATTGGCGCAAAAGGAATGTCCTGGCAAGCGTCTGCAAAGGTTGCCTGAGAAGGGACAGAATCTGCAAAGACTGCTGAGTTGGAATCTGCTGTTCATGTGGAATCTGCTGCAATGCTCCTGCTATTCGCTCTGTTGGTCGTGTGACCGCTGAGTGTCCTGCGGGACCAAATAGCCTGCAGTCTGCACTGCGCCAATCCGCGGCAAATCCGCTCACCACAACTTGCAATACATATTCCTCGATCGACTTCAGTTTGACCATTAAAAGAATGGTTCACTTGGTTTTGTAGTGTAAATTCCTTAGTAAAACAGCTGATTCTTTGGTAAAATATCACTCCCTATTCATAGGATTTGGGCCATTGACTAGCTCATAATGCCCTAGCCATGCCTGACCTTTTTACCAGAATTCCACAGGTCTTTTGGGGCACCCCAAAGCCAAAACCCACCGATCCAGCCGCAGAAAGTCGGGTCAAAACCTCACCCGTGTGGATTCATATTCAAAGTCCAGGTAAGACGCACTGACAATCTCTAATCACCAACTCCTGTCCCAAATAAACTCGACCTGACTTCAGTATACTTCAAGCCAATTGCTCTCTCTTATCTAAATGCCTTTCATCCCAAAAACGAAGCCCCCCGCTTCGCGACGGCCATCTCCGACCCCCGGGGGCGGGACCGAGACCCGGAGGCAGCGATGTCGACCCGCCTTCAGACCACAGACTCCACTCACTGGCGCCCGCGGCGTTGCAGGCACGGACCTTCGAGGCTTCGGTGCTTCGGTGCGGCCGGTGGAGCCCGGAAGCTTCGGTCCCGAGGGTCAGGGACCGGGGGTGAGGGAGGATGCTGGCTCTCCTTTTCGGAGGGGCTTTTCAGATCTCAAGGACCTCAAAAGACACGTAAAGAGGACAGGCGGCCAGGCTTTTCCACCATCCAAGAAACATCCGACACAAAGGGGAGTGTGAATTTTTTTGGTGGGTTTTGAATCAGGTGCAGGGTTGCTTTTCTTGATGTGGTTGGTTTGGATCTGCTTGCATGCGTTGCTTTTGGGGCATTGTTTTGCACTGTTGTGAGAGTGTGTGTGTGTGTGTCCACACCTGTGCCTAAAGTTTTGAGTCACAAAGGACGCTACTAGGGGCCCCTGGTTTCGCTACTAAGGGCTCCTGGTATCGCTATTAGCGTGCAGTTTGTTCAAATCAAAAAACAGCGCGGAAAAAGAGGCAGGGGGTCACTGGGGATTCGTGCAGTCAGCGACCAACGAAGACGCTGCACGTTTCCTGTGATATGAGTCGAGGACGCTCGACTCACGTACCTGCTTTTTTCCAAACTGTTCACAAGCTGTCCAATGCGTTGTTTCCTGCAGTAAAACGGCTAATGCATTTCCAAACTTTGTTAAACATCTACAAGTCCATCGACTCAGCCACCTTTCGGTTCTCGTTCTTTCCGTTCAATCAAGTCAAGGGGGACTTCGTACTGATCCTAGCACAGGGTCCCACTGAGGGCTGTGGTGTGATCCCCGTCAAGGGGCGCCGCATGTGCACAGACCCAGATCCTGGGGGGACCCATTCTGAATGCTTCGCTTTGCAGTCCGGAACTTCTCTTGATTCCCCTTGATCCGCGGCAATGCACGATACCATTGATTTCATGCCGCAGGGCTTGCTGAGATCAACTCCTGGAATCTCACGCATGTCCATGTCATGCTGCTAAGTATTCACAGGCCGGAAGTGAGCGCGACATGAGCGTGGGTTTTCTTGGTCCGTTTGGGTTGTTCTTTCTTGCTGTTGCTTTTCGTTTTCTTGAAGCCTTTCTTTAGGTTTCAGGTGCTTTTCAGACAAGGGTTGCGCCGGCCCAAATCGGCTTTACTTGAACGCCAATGATGGCAATGCCTTCGGGCCACCCCCTACCTCCCTGCCCCTGGGCCTCCGTTGCTATCCCACCCGCATTTAGGGTAACAGAAGGAAATCGCACTCAACACACTTGTGTGTTGGTGCCTTTCCTTCTGTTTCTCCTGTCCTACTTCTAGCTACCCGGGCGGTATAAGACCAAAGTCCCGCTCGCTAACTACTTTCGTTTTACTAAGTGGGCCTCGCAACTACACCTACCTTTCTTTCTTGCCCTCTTAGTCTGCTTTTGTTTTGTTTGCTTTGTCTGTCTTTCTAAGGCTTTTTGGGTGGCTAGTAAAACTTTCTCCGCAGCGCCAATATTGGCGCTAAGTGTACAAAGAGCACACCGATTACGGCCTTGTGTTTGTGTATGTTTCCATACATGTGCCTAAGGCTTTGCGTCACAAACAACGCTACTAGGGGCGTTTGGTCTCGCTACTAGGAGCCAGGACGGTACTACCAGGGGCCTCTGGCCGTTCTCTGGCCGTTCTACAGGGAGCAAGGACGCTACTAGGGGCCCCTGGCCTCGCTACTAGTTGCAAGCAAGGGAGTGCCTAAGGTTTTGAGTCACAAAGGACGCTACTAGGGGCCCCTGGTTTCGCTACTAAGGGCTCCTGGTATCGCTATTAGCGTGCAGTTTGTTCAAATCAAAAAACAGCGCGGAAAAAGAGGCAGGGGGTCACTGGGGATTCGTGCAGTCAGCGACCAACGAAGACGCTGCACGTTTCCTGTGATATGAGTCGAGGACGCTCGACTCACGTACCTGCTTTTTTTCCAAACTGTTCACAAGCTGTCCAATGCGTTGTTTCCTGCAGTAAAACGGCTAATGCATTTCCAAACTTTGTTAAACATCTACAAGTCCATCGACTCAGCCACCTTTCGGTTCTCGTTCTTTCCGTTCAATCAAGTCAAGGGGGACTTCGTACTGATCCTAGCTCTTGCGAGCAACAATCTAAGTGTGTGTGTGTGTGTTGTTGTTTTTCAGAATGGCTCATGGGTGCACAGGCTCCGGATGGAAGTTATTCGAAAGGTTAACGTGAAACTGTTTTATCAGCAAAGGAGCCCAAAATGTGTAATTAGGGAACTAAACACTGTATTTGTTGCAAAAAAATGACCGAAGACCCCATCCGCAAACAAACTTCGAATGACTTCCAGGACCTTCCAAGAGGTGACTATGTTAGGTTCTTTTTAGAGGTGATTTGGGGTGTCCAAAAACCACCGAATCTTGGAATGTCCTGGTTCAAGACGACGTCAAGATCGTCTGCTTGGTTCTTCCGGACCTCACCTGGAAGAAATAGGTCTGCCCCGCTTCTAGGCCATTCAGCTGCACCTGCGGATCCTGGCGATGAGACACCGCGTTGGTCGCGGAGGTCACGAGAGGAGTCTAGCGCCCCGTCCTGTCCGATCTCGGCGATCAATAGACAGTGCTCTGACTCAGCGTTCCTGGCAAGGAAGGAGTCCAGGAAGGAGAGGTTCCCAAGAAAAAGTCTCCAAATTTTGGGTGTTTCGTCCTTGTTGTTGTGACACTTCTGGTAGGACCAGTGGATGGAAAAAAGTGGTTGGCAAGCTGCCTCATCTTGAGACAACTCCGTGAACAAGCGCAAGATTGTCCAACAAAGAATGAACATTGCCCTCAAGAGAGTGTAGATCTAGCATGTCCGAATTCCAGGGCAATGTTGGTTTCCGTGCTGTGTTTTCCAATTTTGCTAGATGCCGGATGCCTCACATGGAGTTCGTAGGTGAAGTCATCATCATCAGGACCACTTGCGGGTTCAACCCACGTGATGAAAGTGCACCAAGCATTGTGAGGCTTCACGACCTTAAGCTGAACACAAACACAGCTGTCAGCCTTCAGTCAGCCAAACATGACCATCGTTGGACCCCTAATGCCCTAATGTAGAGTGCTGATTCATCAAACCACAGTGGTTCTATATCATTGCCCTTGCCTGGATGGTTCTATATCATTCTATATCTAAGTTTTTCTAATCCACTCCACAGTCAGTAGTTCATGAACAACCAGATTCTCAGTCCTATCCACCTGGCTTGGGGCTTGACATGACTTGACTCACAAGTGGTTGTTTCAAAATGTTTTTGGCGCTTCGACCGTGAAGTTCGACGGTTTCCTGAGCTCTTGGCTGGAGCAGCTAGCTGAGAAGGAGGGCTGGTCGTAGGATGTGGCTGACGCGGTGGTGCACCTCTCAAGAGATGTCCAGTTCTAAACGCAACTGGTGATTGTCCTTGATGATGATGATGATGATGATGATGATAAGGGCTGCGAGTGCTCAGA